TGCCCAGGCATCCTGGCAGGTCTTTAGGACCCACTCTCCCCAGGCTCATACACTCACCCAGGTGCCACCCAGCCTGGGTAGGTTCCTTCAATCTTATTTCAGACAAAATGTTCTTTTAGGATATAGATTATTTTGCACAGCCCTCATTACTATCCTGAAATGAATAAAATGTATATATAATATAACCCTTATCCCTGCGGCAGCCAAAAAGTTTCCACAAAGTTCCAAAATGACCCCTTAGGGGGCAGTACAGCCCCTGGCTGAGAACCACATCAATGGTGAGTTGACATCGTCATGATGCTGCCCTGATTTTCTCAGCACAAGGACCAAATCCTCATCATGATCTGGCAAACCTTGGAGTCTGGTCCCTGCATACTTCTCCAGTCTCACCCACACTCCTGTCCCCCTGTTCCCTCCCCTCCAGCCATACGGATACTCCTCCCTCCAGACTCAGAGCTGTGGGCTGTGCTCTTTCTCCTTCTTGTGAGGCTCACATCAGATGTTGCTTCCTCAGAAGAGCCCTACCTAGCCCCCCAAGAAAGGCCACACCTCCTAGTATATGCTCTACACCACTGCGTACCTCTCCTTCATAACATTTGTCCCGGTTTGTAATTATATAACTATTTGATTAATGTTCGTTTTCTCTATTAAAGCACAGAGAGGACAGGAGCTCATCTGTCTTGTTTGCTCCTCTTTCCACAGCGTCCCAGCACATACTAGCTGCTCAATAAGTATTTGCCAAATAAATAAATGAACCTTCTGGAAGACATTTAGGTTTCCATCTTCATTGCTTGTGGACTACATTCTGGTTCCCCTTCCATATTACGGCTGTGCAAATGTCACAGCCTGTTTTTCTGCGCAGGCAAAAGGAATCTATCTTGTTAATAGCTGTATTCCACACACCTAGCATACAGTTCAGAGCATAGCAGAGGCTCAGTGAATGAGTTGATGCCAATTTCTAAATGTCTGAGGTGGGAAGACTAAGAACTGCCCAAATACCAGCCTATCTCTTGCTACATCATTTCCTTCGCACCACCCCCAGCTTATCACTTATCTCCAACTTAAACATACACTGAACGAAGGCACTGGGGGGGTAACATGGCACTTCCAACCTGACAAGCTCACACTCATCTGTCAAGATTCAACTCACATGTCACCTTTGTTTGCCCTCTAACCCTCTTCCCTAAAGTGGGCAACTATCAGAACTTTTATCTTCCTGACTAGCCACTGGTGGTATTTGTCTGTCTTCTCAGCTGAAGCACAGATTTCTAGAAGGCAGGAATTTTGTCACAGTTATCTGTGTCTGCAGAAATGGAGAAGAATGTGGTACTCATGTCTGCTGAGTGAACAAGTAGATAAGGAGCATTGGTGAGGACATGAGCCCCATCCTGGGGTCTCCTCACTCCCCCAGCAAGGATATATGGACCCCTTCAGACCCCAGGGCATCCCTTCCAGCTCAGGGCCTTCAGGCACTCAGGGGATGCCAGGAGAACTGACCCTTCAACCCAGACTCCGTGAGGCCTGTGGTGGGCATTTCTCCTCTCTCAGTGGATATGGTGGGGACACCAGGGGGGTTTCCTGACATGGGTCTGTGGCCTCCCCACAGCCAGTGGCTGCATGCAAAGCATCTTGCCCCCTCAAACTCTTCCCTAGATCTAGTTCTTTTTAATGGCTGAGATATAATTCACATACTATATAGTACATCAATTTAAAGTGAAAAATTCAGGGGTTTTCAGTACATTCAGAGTTGTGCAACTGTCACATTTTTCATTTCCACATTTTCATCACCCCCAAAAGAAACCCCATACCCATTAGCAGTCACTTCCTATTTCCTCCCAACAGCCCCCCGCCCCAGCCCTAAGCAACCACTAATCTACTTTTTATGTCTATAAATTTGCCTATTCTGGACATTTCATAGAAATGGAATCATATAGTATGTGGTCTTTGGGGACTGGCTTTTTCTTTTAGTATAATGTTTTCAAGGTTCATCCATGTTGTTATTAATACATGTATCAGTACTTCCTTCCTCCCTTAGATTTTTATGCTGAATAATATTCCATTGTATGAATGTATCACTTTTTTGTTGTTGTTTATCCATTCATCATTTGATGGACATCTCTGTTGTTTCCACTTTCTGGCTATTATGAACATATGTCAACATATGAGTCTTTGTGTGGACAGATGTTTTCACTTCTCTTGGGTATAAGTAGGAGTAGAATTACATGGTAACTTTTGAGAAATTTCAGGCTGTTTTCCAAAGTGGCTGTACCATTTTGCATTCCCAATAGCAGCATACCAGAGTTCCAATTTCTTCACATCCTCCACCTCCTCACCACTTGTTATTACCTGTCTTTTTTATTGTTGCAATCTTCCTATATGTGAAGTAGCTTTGATTTCCCTGGATCTATTAAAAAGCCACAGTTCCACTGGAGTTATGAATTCTGGGGACATGAGGCCATCAGGCGGGAGCCCGTCATACTGCTGCTACTGACAGCTGTGTGACTTCAGTGGTTCTTCAACTTTTTAGCAGGTTTCCTCATCTGTCAAACATGTTACTCTACTGGATTCTCAGAAACATTTAATGAGATGATACATAAATGACACATAGTACATAATTCCCAGAACATTATCAAGAACAACAGAGGGGCTAAAAAAAAAAAAAGGCTATTAGAAAAAAAAAAAAAACAAAAAAAAACAGTCCCTTAAAGTCAAGAACTGTAACTGTGTCTCTGGTCTACAAAGGAAGATCAAAGAAACTAAACCATTGTGGCCAGAGGACTATAAGAATTACATATGTGTAAATTACATGTCAAGGACAACACTAACTTAGAAACTCATTTTCTTCCTATTTTCTCACCTTATCATTTTCTAGTAGTGGTGGACCCAGAAGAGGCCCAAGACAAGGGAAGCTGTTCTCCAACAGAACAGCCTTTTCAATGATTTCTTAAGGCAACATGTTGGCAGGTCCACTGATCAGATCATGATGAAAGCACTTCATGGGAAGGCGAGGACAAAAGCATCAGCCTGTTCAGTATACACATCAATGGTCAAAACGAGAGACCCATAGAAAGGGTGTCCAAAGTGGGGCATCGATTTAGCTGCTTCTGCCCTTCTCCAATGTTAACACTGCGTTAAGTAAGTGTTTTCTAGTAAAGAAGAAAAATGAACATCAAATGCCCAAGCAGGAGCCCCAAACAGAGGAGGAGGAGGAGAATAGGAAGGAGTCAGACAAGAGGCCCAAGTCCATAGCCCTAAATAGTCTCTACCGTAATACGGCCATCCTGCAGGAGCAACTTCACTCCCAGAGCATCCAATCAAACTAGCCTGCAGTTCCAGGGAGGGCATCCTCTGAGGAAGGTGTAGGCATCCCCTGGCATGGTTTTAAGAAGGGCACACAAAGAAACAGCCAGATAAAGTTATTCTTCAATTCTTCATTTTCTTCTTTTGAACAGTGGCCCCATCACTGTCACCTGCAACCTGGCACGAGAGCTACAGGTGAGAGGCTAGCTGAGAAGCTTAAAATGAGAGTTGGAGGTTTCTCATTTCCCAGTATCTTTGTTCTTCAAACTCATGGACCAACATGAAGGCTTCTCATCTCCATTACCTCTGTGGACCAATCTCATAGACCAACAGAGGCTTTTCATCCTCCTGGAAATCTCTGTCCACCAAACTCATCACTTCCATTGCTCAGGCAGGGTCTGTCTCACCCCAGCCCGTCTTTTAAGGATGGGGAGGTGGGCTGGTCTCCTCTATTTGGCTGATCAAATCTCTTAGCCTGGCCAAAAAAGTGCCCTGCTCAAACCTAACACTGCTCAGCACCAGATTTTTTTGTATGTTGCTAAAATGCCTCTACTTTCTAATTCTGGTCTATCTAGACATCCCTCTTAGGGAGGAGGAAACTCCCCCTTCTCTTTAGCTCTGACCCACGCAGGAAATTAGAGCCTTTATACACACTCGGCTTCTGGAATAACAGTGCTATCTGTGGACGCACGGATGGCTCTGACCCCGTGTCCGGCCCTTCGCGGGTTGTCCACCCTAGCAGGTCCCAGCTTCTGGGTCTGTGCCTTGTGCCCATCCCTACAGGCCTTTCCCCACAGCTCTTTTCAAAACTGCCCCTCCCCTCTCCACCATTCTTGCTGCAAACATTCCACTAAGTGAACAGTCATAAACAGCCCAACCCAGTTTCAAAACATATCTACAAACGGAAAAGTGTTTAAGATTAAAAATTTTAAAACAAGAAAAAAATGGGAACGAAAAAAAGGAAAGAGTAGGAACAAGAGAACAGGCCGGGCGATGTTGGCAGAAAGCCCTTGTGCTGCGCGGGTCACACTCAAAGCCCAGACGTTCGTTCATCCCGCCTGACTCCACAGGTGTCCCCCAGTTAAGACACTGGCTCCCCCTGAACGAGTACCGGCCCCTTGGAACAGGCCTTTCCCAATTAATCACCCGCCCGCCCTTGGACCTCGGGAGCGCAGGAGACCAGGACGGCCAGGCCCAGGGTCCGCTTCTCTTTCCCCGCCGTGGAACGCGCGACCCCGTGACCTCCTCCCCGGGGGACGCTGCGCACAGCGCCGAGCAGCGCGGCCGCGCGGGGCCGGGGGAAGACGAGGCCGCGGCCGGCCAGGAGGTCGGGTTTCGCCGCCTCAGCGCCGCCGCCCGGGAGGCTCTTCAGCCCCGGCCCGGGTTCGAAGCGGCACGGCCAGAGAAGAGGAAGGAAGACGAAAAGGAACTTTGCCCACGGTTTCTGTGAGTAGGCGGGTCAGGCCCCGCAGAGCGGTGGCTGGAGAAACTCGGGACCCGGGGACCCGGTGCGCGGGCAAGGGCCGGGCGCTGAGTTCCGCGCGGGGGCTGCGGCGGCAACTTCGCGCGAGGAAGCCCTCCTCGAACTTGACTTCGGCGCCGCGGCCCCCGCCCCGCCCGCCGCGGTCCAGCCGCCTGGCGCGTCGGCTCCCGGGCCCCTTCCTCCCCGGGCCGCCCCGTGTGACCCCGGCCCCTCTTACCATCTGCGCCACTTTCAGCAGGGCCGCGTGCGTGCGGGGGTACACGGTGTCCAGCAGCCCCTCCGAGGGGCCCGCGCCGGGCTGGGCCGCGCCCGCCCCGGGTCCGAGCGCGCTGCCGCTGCTGCACGTGGTGCGGACGAGCCCGGCTCCGTGCGACATCGCGCGGCCCCAGCCCGCCGGCCGCCTCCCCGGGCCGCGGCCCTGGGGCCAGATAAGGAGGGGCGGGCCGGGGCGGGGCGGCCCCTGGGCCGGGGCGGGCGGCGGGCGCAGGCGAGGGCGGGGCGCACTCGACCCAGCCCCGGCGCGGGAGACGCCGAGCCGCAGTGGCAGAGACCAGCCGGGACCGCCGGCCGGCGCTTTCCAGAGAGGTAGCGCCAGTCCTGGCCCTCGGAGATGCGCGGAAGCTGGGAGTGGAGCGAGAGGAAACCGGATGCCTCGGGCCGTGGCCTCTGCGAAGTGGGCAAGGCCCGGGCTGCAGCTGGCACTGAGCCTCCTGGGATTTTGCGTGGGTGCGGCTGCGGATGTGTGCTGAGAGTACTTTGTTGAAGTTTAACTTACTACAGTGAAATGCCCAGACCTTACACGTTCAGCTCCATTAATTTTTATGTATGTGTACACCTGTGTAATCATCGGCCAGATCAACAAATAGAACGCGCCCATCACCCCAAAGAGTTCTACCGTGCTCCTTACTCTTCCCGCTTCCCACCCATCCTCAGGCAGCCACCTCAGTATATTCTGCTTTCTGTCACTATAGATTAGTTTTGCCTGTTCCTGGACTTTCTATACTTGAAATAATACAAAATGTTCTCATTTGTGTCTGGCTTCTTTCATTCAACATAAGGTGTTTGGGATTCATCCTGTTGGGAATATAAGTAGTTGTAGTAGTATTCCACTGTGTGAAAATATCACAGTTTTAAAAAATTGATTCACCTGTTGATGGACACCTGGCTGCTTGCTTCCTTCCTCCCTCCCTCCCTTCCTCCCTTTGCTATTATGAGCAAAGAAAGCTGTGGTGAATATTCTGGTACAATTTTTTTGGGGTAGACACAAGCTCTCATTTCTCTGGGGTAAATATCTATGAGCAGACTTGCTGGTCATGGGCTATGCATATGTTACTTCTATTAGAAGCTGTCAAACGGTTATTAAGTGACATTCTATTTTGCACCCCTTCTGGGTTGTTTTAAAAATGAATACAAGCCCAAACAGGACTACCAAAATGAGGTATGTTATCAATGTTCCTTCCGAGCATAGTGTCTCTGCTCAGAAGATTTTGGAGATAACATAAAAAATCCACCTGTGTGAGCTCGTTTGTTTGATTTTTTTTAATCCCACTGCACAATAGATGATAATCTATGAGCTTATTTGATGCCAGCACTCACCTGTCCTCAGAAGACTTTTCAATGTGGCAAAGTCTTAATAATTCTGGAATGTGAATGATACCCATGCAATCTCTGTTGTGACTTGTCTCAGGTGATTCTGACGCACACTCAAGTTTGGGAGCCACTGCCATTGCCACAGTCCACTAGAGTTGAGGCATCTGGGGATTCATTATGCTATTTTTTTTCTACTTTTATGTACACTTGACAATTCTCATGACCAAAAAATTTTGCCTTCAGTATGTGTCTTCTCTTTAGACAACAGTCACTGCCATCTGGTACCTCCATTTGTTTCCCTGTAAATCAGGAATCATTGCACCTAGGGGCTGCCGTGACAATGTGATAGACATGCAGGCATAATGTGACATTTCTGGCTCTATACCCACAGGCATGAAGTTAGTATTGCGTATTATTCTTCATGGAGATTTACATTTTCACTCCTGTAGTTGTCCAAGGCTTCAGAGCCCAGAATGGAGATGACAGGGGATCTTTGTTGAAATGAGGGCTTCAGGGAAGCAGAAAAACCAAGTGCTAGATAATTTCTCCTCTGAGGGGTCTTTATCCAGCATTCCAGCATTCTTGTAACTCAGTGATTTTCAATGTATGGTCCCCAGACCAGCAGCACCAGCAGCACCTGAGAACTTGTAAGAAATGCACATTCTAGGGCCCCATGCTGACCTGCTGCATCAGAAACTCTGGAGGTAGGGCTTAGCGGTCTGTGTTTTGACAAGTCCTCCCAAACGTACCTTCACCCCTTCCCCCTAACCCCACCCTGTGATTCAAACGTACCTTCACCCCTTCCCCCTAACCCCACCCTGTGATTCTGTGCATGTTCAAGTTTGAGAACCACTATCAGTTTCTGAATCCACTCAAGAAATACTGCTGAGACATTGCTGGGTTTTTCTGCCTGGTGTTGACTAATGTGCCACCCAACTCTGATAGGAAATAATCACTGGTGCTGGCTACTCTGTGTTGATCACTTTATCATGATCAATTAAGTGCTGAGCAATGTAAGAGTCATTGCTGCCTGATGTACAAGAAAAGGCTCCAGAGATCAGACCTTGCTAAGTACACTGGGATGTCTACATTGGTGTGCTGCCTGCTGGGTATGAATGGCTGCCCTTTAGGAAACAAGGGCTTAGGCAAAGGGCTTCATAGCTCACTTAAAAAATGTTACACTCTAGGAGGGAGCCAGCCAGATGGGTGGCCTCTGAATATCTCATGAGAATTCAAGAATTTCCAAGTTGTTCTTTCCTCTACACTGAGGGGGTGCAGGTGACTGTTGACAGTTCCAAGGCTTCAATTAGAGTGTCTCTGTCTGTCCACAGCTCTTTTATACCAATGTGATTATGATGATACATCTGATCAGATAAAATGAAAAAAAGTAATAACATGAGAGTTGATTCTGTATCAGTCACAGTGCTTTTGGTTGCAACGACAGAAACTAAACTTGAGCAAAAAGAATTCATTGGCTTGTGTAACTGCGCTATGCAGAGGTGTATGCCCATTTGAGCCATGGTTGGATTCAGGTGGTCTTCAGGCACAGCGAGGACCTCCATCTCTTGTCTTCACTCTCCTCTGTTGGCTTTTCTGTCACGCAGGCCCTCTCATGATCTCTGGCAGCTCAGGCTCACGTAATAATCATAATAATCCCACCTCTTTATAACACCACCTCTTTCCCACTGGTTCTGGCACACTCTTGTCCTGCTCAGGCTGCCGTAACAAAATAACACATATTGGGTGGCTTATCAACAGGAATTTATTGCTCACAGGTCTGGCAGCTAGAAGTCTAAGATCCAGGTGCCACTGGGGTTGGTTTCTGGTGAGGCCTCTCATCGTGGCCACCTTCTCCCCGTGTCTTCACATGGCCTTTCCTTTGTGCCATGTGAAGAGAAAGAGAAAGAGAAATCTCTGGTGTCTCATCCTTTTCTTACAAGGACACCAGTCCTATTCGATTAGGCCTCCCCACTCTTCTGACCTCATTTAACCATAATTACTTCCCTAAAGAAGATGCAAATACAGTCACATTGGGGGTTAGAGCTTCAACATATGAATTTGATGGGGGGGGACGAGGAACATAATTCAGTGTGTAACAGGCACTAACTCTCATTGATCCAAATATGGATCATGGTTCCATCTTTCAACCAATTAACATAGCCAGAGGAGTGGAACATTTGTGTTGGACAGGCCAAGTTCTACCTCCCATGGAGCTGGGGATGTGGTAGGGTCAGCCCAGTAGCACCATAGGAACTGAGTGGGGGAGGGGTAGCTCCAAAAAGGAAAATCAAGGTGCAAGTATCAGAAAGGGGAGTGAATATTTGGCTGTGTTATGGACTGAATGTTCATGTCCCCTCAAAATTTATAAGTTGAAGTCCTAACCCCCAGTGTGATAGTGTTTGGAGATGAAGCCTTTGGGAGGTGATTAGGGTTAGATGAGGTCATTAGGGAGGGGCCCTTACGATGGGATTGGTACCTTTATAAAAAAGACACCATTGAGTTTGCTCACTCTCTACCATGTGAGGATATAATGAAAAGGTAGCCTTCTGCAAGCTAGGAAGAGAGCTTTCAACAGGAACGAATAGGTCAGCACCTTGATCTTGGAGTTCCCAGACTCAGAAATGTGAAAAAATAAATATCTGTCATTTAAGCTATCCAGTCTATGGTATTTTGTTATGGAAGTCTGAGCTAAGACAGGCAGTCAAAAGCATTGGGGTCCATGAAACTCTTTGAATACCTGCCATTTCAATTATTTTCCAGTGTTTTTAAAAGTTTTTAAAAGTTTATTAGGTTCTGAAAACTAGCCATATTCCCAGACTCTTCTGAGGAACACTTATCAGGTGTCCTTATATCCATGGCCACCTCTGATTGGATGAGGGTGGCCTGTGAGCCAATCAGTGGGTTGGCCAGTAGTGTTTGGAGTGGCCTTATATGAGAGCTTTGCCCAGAAAGAGTGGGAATTCCTATTAAGACCAATTAGGCTAGGCACAGTGGCTCACACTTGTAATCCCACACTTTGGGAAGACAAGGCGGGAGGATCACTTGAGGCCAGGGGTTCGAGACCAGCCTGAGCAACATAGCGAGACCCATCTCTACAAAATATTGAAAAATTAGCTGGATGTGGTGGCACGTGCCTGTACTCCTAGCTACTTGATAGGCTGAGGCAGGAGGATTGCTTGAGCCCAGGAGTTCAAGACTGCAGTGAGCTATGACTGGGCCACTGCACTCTAGCCTGGGCAATAGAGTGAGACCTTGTCTCAAAAAACAAACAAAAACAAAACAAAACAAAGACCAATTAGATCCTCTCTCTTACGGAGTTTGAATGTGAAGCATTGGGAGGGTGTTAGCAGTGGGGAGGTGAAGGCAGCAAAAGCCAAAGCAGTTAGGACATAGAGAGAAGGCGGAAGCTGTAGGGTTGGATGGGCCATGAGAAGATATAAGGAGGGACTGGGCAGAATAGAGTGGCTGAGGCCCAGCAGATGGAGAGCAGTATGTGCTCACCACTGAGGGGCCATCCAGGAAACCTGGTCTTTAGCACCAGGTGGGACTCTAAAACCTTTGTCTCTGTGCTGCCTGGCAAGACTCTGGAACCAAACTGTCCGGGCTTGGCTCTTGGTTCCATCACTTGCTAGATGTGCAACCTTGGGCAAGTTATGACCCCTTTCTGAGGCTCCATTTCCTCATCTGTAAAGAGTAACAGTAAAACTCACCCCTCAGGGTAACTGTGAGACATACATGGGATAATACACATGGAAATTGCCTAGAATAGTGTCTGGCTCATAGTAATAAATGTTACCTATGTTATCATTATTCCTTAAGTTCTTATGTATTGAGCAATAAAGCTCCACTATCTGGGAGCTGAGGGATCCCAGTGGGTTGCTGTTTCCATAATCATAAGCATGAAAGACCATCTTTATGGGTGAAATAAAAGACTGTTTGGATTCAGGCAATCCAAGGAATTGAGAGAGCTTCTGGGGGAAAGTTTTACTGGGAGAGGGAGGAAGGAGAAGGAGGATTCACCTAGT